TTGACTATGGTTTCACTAATAATAAACATACATTTGCATAAAGCAATTCATATTTGTCCATGCCCATGTTGATTAGAGTATTATAAACTTGAAAAGTATTAATTTAAGGTACATTTAGAACAGGTAAAACTGTGCTATTAAGTTGCGATTTAATCACGAGTTAAGTCATAACCATCATTCTATTAATCGCGATTAAATATTTTAATTGATTGACAGCTCTATATTATTCACAATTACTCGTTGCCCAGCACTAAAATAAATATGTATATACATTTTCATTCTTGCTTAATTTTTTGAGACTTTAAATGAGATTCTGTTTTATTGATTTTATTTGTACTTTAAATAAATAAAATTAATTTTAGTTGTTGCTTCTGTTTTTTGGTCAGACATCAGTTTATGTTGCTTAAATGCTTAAGTGCTTGATAGATCATTCAGATTTTGTTGGAAACCTGCATGCGTATGATGTGTGTAAGACATTGTTTTTTTATGTTTTTGTCACAGAAACATGTTATTGGCTGAGCGGTGTTGTCTTTTAAGTGCTGAGATTTTGAAGAGTCAGACCAAATACTCAGATGCTGCCACACTTCTGATCAAGATGACCAGTGAGGTGAGCTCAAGTCCCAACTGACAGTGTTTCTGAGTCACATCTAAATTACTAAAACGAAACCAAATGTTTTAGAAGCGTGTAATTTCAAACAGGTGTTCCCCTTCGAACTCACGTTTTTGGCTAGGCCAAATGCCAATTCACATCACTTCCTCTTTCCACTCTCTGCTAGGACTCTGACCTGCGGAGCGCACTCCTGTTGGAGCAGGCGGCTCACTGCTTCATTAATATGCGGGGCCCCATGGTGAGGAAGTTTGCCTTCCACATGATACTTGCTGGTCATCGTTTCAGCAAAGCTGGACAGGTATGACGGCAGACACAAGAAACACTTTCCTGAAATGTACACGTCTGTCATTGTCAGCATTAGTAATCAGTAATAAAACATGTATTATTAGGGGTATTCAGATTTTGTCTTTGGCAATGCAGGGCCTTGGAGTAAAAAAGGTTGATATGCAATGCATTAAATGGATCAAGAGTTGAGATAATTAAAATATAATATTATCGAAGACCTGCCATCTGCTGAAATTACAGATATTTTCCCTTATGACATCCTCAAAGTGGATGAGCTCTGCATTGGATAGATTTATCACTTTCTACGCATTTAAAGCCATTGCAGCCAATCCTCTCAACCATTAGTGGGACATGGTCAGTGCATAAATGCAATGGAATGAGGTCATTGTGACCTCTAATAAAGAATGTTTAGTAAGTAAACCCTAAAAGGGACTTAGAAGATGTAAAGCTTAAACCTGTGGATATGAATGGGAATCATTAGGGGTGGGTGATATACCGGTAGGCACGATTAACTGATAGAAATTGTTCAACCAGAAGAGATTTTGGACTATCATCTCTATTGCCGGTTACACACTCAGGTGACGTTGCTGTGCTACGTGGTCACGAAAACGTATCGTTTGCACACGTTTTTTATGCATTGCTGTTTAAAAATAAATAATTTTAAGCCATTAAAACGCAATCAGCAGTGAAAGAGAACTCATTTGGCTATATGTGCGCGGAGTCTGAGAGACTGTTTTTGAGCGCTGAGCTCAGAGAGGCGTGCGCGGGAGTATTGAACAGTTATTTTTGCCGCTTTATAAGCTTTGAACAGTTAAATGCACACACTTTTATGTGTCAAAATGCTCATCTTTGCAAGTATCCTCATAAACAGTAATTTAGGTATTAAGTGAAAGCAAACAGCT